GTAGTGTTCAATATTCATTAGTGTTCTAATTCAAAGCCGTGTTGTATTCCAATACAGCTCACACAGCGAACGGAATTCGAACACGTGGATGACGGCATTACGTATCAGTAGAATTTGAAGCGTGGACGGAATACGCCTCACCACATGCCTAATATTGCCACACACAGTGACGCTGTGACGGAATATAGGGATTTGGTAGGTTTCCATTCTAAAGGCTTTTAAATAAATATGGCAACATTTTGTGACGTTTTGTTGTTGCTGACACGTAGTGCGGTGTTTTGAGTCACATAAAGCAAACAGAACTTGTGTAACTCATATGGTTATTTTTTATAGTTTTTCATTTCTCGATGCGTCCTTAATGTGACGGAATATACCGCGTTTACCCTACTAGTGCTAGCATACAAGAGCATTCTACTAATCTAATGGTACTTAATAATAAATTCTTTGAAATTGACTCTTAGGAAACCTAGAGGCTAGAAATGAAGGTTTTTTAAAAAAAAGTGGTAAAAATGAGTCCATTTTGGAGACATAATTTAATGAAAGAAAAAATTCATTTCTTTCTCACTTTTATTTGAATGTCACTAACATTTTATGATAATTTTTTTCCCTTTTCAGCTGTATAATTTTCATTAAGATCAGAAGAAAATTTTTCATTTACAAACACAAACCTACTATAAGTACCACACTCAGGAAGATGTATATAAACGGGGAAATTTCTTGCGTAAATCAATCTAATTATATTTTTTCCGCGCAAGCGTTCGTGCAAATCACGGTCATCGATTCCGCGCCGCGCAGCACTCGGCGCGGGCCGCGGAGCCGTCCAACACAGTTCTGATTTAGACACAGTTTTCATCTGAATGGAATGGCAACATCTTCTGCAGATGATTTCAAGTAACGCTGAACCAGCATTGCCAGATGGTATATTTCTATACCAGATTTCACAAATCTGGTATTTTCAGGTGTCTGGTATGAATATTTTAGATCTGGTATATATGCCTAAATCTGGTATTTTCTGACTTACTGCAAATTTACTGCATTAAGTTCCACCTCTGAAGTTTGAACTTCCTCTAGCATAGGCATGGATTATATTATTATTTATATAGACTGCCTTCAGAGCAGCGCGATTAGAGCTTTCCTGCCATTTTTGGAACCGCAAGTTTACCGCAAGTTTTCATGTCAACCGGAACTCGAACACCACAGCAGAGAGTATTTTATGCAGCTAATGAATTTCGCAAACTTTGCTGGAAGAGAGATTATTGAATTTTAGGAAAAAGGCAGGATAATTTAATGAAGGTTGGTGGCAGAGCTGCAATCTTGATACTCTATTGTGATTTGTGCTATGATAACCTACGTAACAATTTTCATATGATAGTTATAATTTTTGCACATTCAAAGTACACATGACATAACATAACGCACCCAGATTTGGAAACCATTATTGCTCAAATGAAGCAAAAATAAACGACAGACCATTGACTTATCTTGCAAATATATATATTCATATTATGTATCACATAG